TTTGGGGATATTTTGGGGATATTTGGGGATATTTTGGGGATATTTTGGGGATATCTTGGGCAGATTTTGGTGAGGTTTTGGTGAGGTTTTGGTCAGATTTTGGGGCCGTTTACCATCCGTCGTCGCCGGTGCCGAACTGGGCCACGCTGGCGCCGAAAGCGGCCCCGGGGTCGCCGCGGAACAGCGTCGGGGTCTCCAGGTCCAACCCGCAGGAGCTCAGCGCTGGGGGGTGGGGGAGGGGCCGACACACCTGGGGGTCACCTGGGAGGGGTCACCTGAGCCCAGGTGTCCAGCGGGGGGGTCCCCAATGTCCGGGTGTGGCCACAGTGTCCAGGTGTCCACCCCAATGTCCATCTGTCCATCCCAACCCCAGCGTCCAGGGGGGTCCCAATGTCCACCCCAACCCCAATGTCCAGCTGTCCCCAATGTCCAGGTGTGGCCACAGTGTCCAGGTGTCCATCCCAACCCCAGTGTCCACCTGTCCCTAATGTCCAGGTGTCCACCCCAATGTCCTGGGGGGGGGTCTCAGTGTCCAGGTGTCCACTCCAATGTCCACCTGTCCCCAATGTCCATCTGTCCACCCCAACCTCAATGTCCATCTGTCCATCCCAACCCCAGTGTCCAGGTGTGTCCCCAATGTCCAGGGAGGTCCCCAATGTCCAGGTGTCCATCCCAACCCCAATGTCCAGGTGTCCACCTCAACCCCAGTGTCCACCTGTCCCCAATGTCCAGGTGTCCATCCCAACCCCAATGTCCAGGTGTCCATCCCCAACCCCAATGTCCATCTGTCCATCCCCAATGTCCAGGTGTCCCCAGTGTCCATCTGTCCACCCCAACCCCAATGTCCAGGGGGGGTCCCCCAATGTCCAGGTGTGGCCACAGTGTCCAGGTGTCCATCCCAACCTCAGTGTCCGTCTGTCCACCCCAACGTCCAGGTGTCCCCAGTGTCCATCTGTCCACCCCAACGTCCAGGTGTCCACCCCAACGTCCAGGTGTCCATCCCAATGTCCAGGTGTCCATCCCAATGTCCAGGTGTGGCCACAGTGTCCAGGTGTCCACCCCAACCCCAGTGTCCTGGGGGGTCTCAGTGTCCAGGTGTCCACCCCAATGTCCACCTGTCCCCAGTGTCCATCTGTCCATCCCAACCCCAATGTCCAGGGGGGGTCCCCAATGTCCAGGTGTGGCCACAGTGTCCAGGTGTCCATCCCAACCTCAGTGTCCGTCTGTCCACCCCAACCCCAGTGTCCACCTGTCCCCAGTGTCCGTCTGTCCACCCCAATGTCCAGATGTCCATCCCAACCCCAATGTCCAGCTGTCCATCCCCACCTGTCCCCAGTGTACGTCTGTCCACCCCAGTGTCCATCCCAGTGTCCGTCTGTCCGTCCCCGGTGTCCACCCCAATGTCCACCTGTCCCCAGTGTCCATCTGTCCATCCCAACCCCAATGTCCAGGGGGGGTCCCCAATGTCCAGGTGTGGCCACAGTGTCCAGCTGTCCATCCCAACCTCAGTGTCCGTCTGTCCGTCCCCAGTGTCCCCAGTGTCCGTCTGTCCATCCCCAATGTCCATCTGTCCACCCCCGGTGTCCATCCGTCCGTCCATCCGTCCGCACCTGTCCCCAGGTGTGCCCCCAGTGTCCGTCTGTCCGTCCCCAGTGTCCCCAGTGTCCATCTGTCCACCTCAGTATCCATCCCAGTGTCCGTCTGTCCATCCCCAGTGTCCCCAGTGTCCATCTGTCCACCCCAGTATCCATCCCAGTGTCCGTCTGTCCGTCCCCAGTGTCCCCAGTGTCCATCTGTCCATCCCCAGTGTCCACCTGTCCATCTGTCCGTCCCCACCTGTCCCCAGGTGTGTCCCCAGTGTCCACCTGTCCACCTGTCCATCTGTCCATCCCCAGTGTCCACCTGTCCGTCCGTCCGTCCCCACCTGTCCCCAGCAGCAGCACCAGGAGCGGCCCCGGCGCCATCGCGGCTCCTCCGGAACCCGAAAAATGGAGAAGTTTTGGGGGGGAGGGTGGGGGAGGGG